TCAAACATCGTCAATCATAGGGTTCGACTTCCCCGGGACTAGAAATAAAAGAACTACTCACTAAGCATAATATTCATAAACATGTTCATCAATTTAATTACACAAGAAAGAGAGAAAAGAAAAGAAAGATAAAATTCTTCTCTGTTGTTTTTTTTGTTGATCGCTTCTCTGCTCTCGCTTTTCTTCTCCTCTGTTCGATCCCCCTAGGTCACAGCCGCCAGTTGTGTAATTAATCTCCCAGCATAATAATACTCTCCCCTACTAATTACCACGTGATTTATTTTAATAAGTGTCCCAAGGCTTATTAAGTCTTTCAGTCAATCAAGATTCAAGGCCCACTTCAAAGTCAACACTCGTGATTTGCGTGGACATTCCCAATGCAGTACAGGGTCTGCTGCTCGGGTACGGGGCTACCCTGTACTCTACTGTTCAGCATTATTTCCATTCATATTCTTGCCTCCAAAACCATTATGCACTAGATAATCTCCAAAAACACTGAAAATACTAACAAACTGATCAAGGTACGATAATCATACATAAAATCAAATAAGCCGAAAAATGAACAAGTGCGAAGAATTAATCGTGCAAAATCACAACATTAGACGGTTAATGCAAGCACATTTTTCAACTAATCAAACCACCCCACACATGAACGATGCTTGTCCTCAAGTATCAAGCCAAATCTGTCATATCAAATTGTAATCACACCCTTTCCTCCTCTTTTGCCAATTCAAAATCAATTTACACACAAGAAATCAAGAAATGGTGAAATCCTCATATACCGACATCAATGACCGAAAGTCTCAACAATCAATCAATATGAAACGCAAACGAGGATCAACACATCTCACAAGGTACGCTCAAACACTCCGATGTGTATAGGCCAAAGATATATATAAGTGAACGCTCAAGTCAAGACATAGAAAATTCTTACCATAAGCTTGCCAATGCATCACGCCCGACTATTCAAGAATGAACATAAATTCACAAGAAATCAAAGGGTTTATCATGAGGTTGTAATGTCGGGTATGGGTAATAATGGGAAGAATTTTTCAACAAGGGTGGACAACAACGTTAATCAAACGAACCAACGCAATCATGTAAACCTTGTCCGTAAAGAGCACGAAACACCACAAACTACCCACATAAGATGACCAAATAATCACATATCCTAGAATAATGAACAAACATTTTAAGGGAAGGTCTTTCAACTCAGCTACTCAAAATTTTCTAATCCCACCTCCAAACAATTACATCCCAGATAATGATTTCTGTCCCCCTCATATTTTTTTCTTCAACCTGTTTTTAGAACAGATTTTTTTTTTTTTTTTAACTGGCCTGCTTTTAGGTCCAGCTCTTTTTTTATTTTTTTTATTTTTTTTTTAATATCAAACATAAACAGACACTCCATCATTCAATCCTAAGCATCACTCAAAGCACCCACAGATAGATAACTTCCAACTACACATCCTTTCCCCAAACAAGTATCTCCACATACACACTGACTCACACAAAAGACCCCGTGCTCAATATAAGACAAGAATCACACGATTGCTTAAGTTCAGAAGTTCAAATGGGGTATCAATCAAAAAAATCACGGCATGTAATGTGGTGGTTTTTCAAAGAATAGGCTCCGGCTCAAAGTGGCTTACTAATGGAAATTGTTCGGTTCCGGCTCATTGAAAAGAAACAGGCCACAACAAGAGGTTCATTCCTAAATACCCTTATCCAACTTATGCATTCATATTCATCAAAAATATTCAAACGAAACATATATACAGAGGCAAGTTCTAGCAAGATCAACTATTCATGACATCACACAATCAACAAAAGGAGCATTATAATCCGTGCATGCTCGTTGGCTCAAATCTCACAGTAAGTAGGGACAAATAGTGTTGATCCTCATGCATTCGGCCATAAATGCCATATGATCATCAAGACCGTCAGTCAATCAATATTCAGCAAACAAGGATTCCCAAAAATTTTCGCACACATAAAAAAAAATATATCAAGAACTGGCATCGGAAAGAGAATCAAGCATAATCACAATTGACATTCCAAATAGGACTCAACACCATCAGACATTCATCAATTCCAACTCTAATTCCAGACAAAACAAAGTAATCAGACAGATCAGAAGGAGCATCAAGCAGGACAACATGAACCATCTCAAGATCAGTCAGCAAAAGACAATAAACAATAGCATATTCGGACAACCAACCACCAGTTCTACCCCACACTTAGAAAAAGGCCAGTGTCCTCAACGGCACGACACCCAAAATACATATAAAAATAAAAAGAAAAGAGTATGGAATACCAGACTTCCCTCGTGCATCCTTGCGCGTGGTCTGTAACATCAGTGGGGCGGGCCTGCATGAGGCTGGCGCCGCTCATCCAGCAAATCTTTAACAAGGTCTCGTAGACTCCGCTGCTCGCGCTCCAGCTCCTCTACTCGAGCCCGCAGCAACTCCAGTGTTGAGATTGTGATGTATTTTCCATCTTTCTATTTTTCTGTTTTGGTTAGTTATATTTTTAGAGGTGTTTTACTTAAGAAAAAAGCGTGTTTACGTTTTCTCCCTTACATTCATATAAATACTTGTATTGGACCGTTGCATTTTCAAGTTTAATGAAAAATATCAGAAAAGGGAATTTTCCCCCAAAATATCTTCTTCTTCACAGTTTCTACATGGTCTCCAGAGCCTGCATCGATTGAAGCTTCGATCTTAGATTTCCATGGCGTCGGCTTCCAGCAGAGACATAACAGGCGAGATCGCGATGTCGCCTGACGATCCGATGTACCTGCAAAGCTCCGATCATCCCGGATTGCATCTGGTTTCGATCCAGTTGAATGGAAGCAATTTCCTTCCATGGCGGCGTGCTGTTCTGCTTGCGCTTGGAGCGAAGAACAAGCTAGATTTCATCAACGGAAAACTTACAGCTCCGTCAGAAGACGCCGAGAACTACAACAGCTGGAGAAAAGCCGACTGTACGGTAACTTCTTGGCTTTTGACTTCTATGTCATCTGAGATTGCTGAGGGATTCATCTATGTCGATTCTGCATTTCAACTATGGGAAATTATAAATCAACGATTCGGCGAATCAAATGCTGCCTTACTGTTTAGTCTGCAAAAGGAAATTGCAAATATTAAACAAAGCACATCGTCTGTGGTTCTGTATTTTACAAAATTGAATCGGTTGTGGGATGAGTGCGCTACACTAGCACCTTTACCTCTATGTGGTTGTGCTAAATCAAAGGAGTTACTGGAAATGGATTCTAGGAACAAATTGATGCAGTTCCTCATGGGACTCAATGAGTCATATGATTCAGTTAGTAGCCAGATTTTACTAATGGATCCACTGCCAAATGTGAATAAAGCGTACTCACTAGTTCTGCAAGAGGAAAGGAAAAGAAGTGTTCATATCTTATATCCAGACTCCACAGATACAACAGCAATGGCTTTTAAGACAAAGGAGTTTGGGAATAGAGGTAGAGACTATGTGCAGAGAGGAAGAGGCCAAAATTCCTTTGCAGGCAGAGGCAAAGGGTCAGTTACTAGGAAAACTAAAGAAGAAAGGGCACAGCTGGTTTGTGAACACTGTGGCTATAATGGGCATGAACAAAAGGAATGCTTCAAACTTCATGGTTATCCAGACTGGTACAAAGAGTTCAAGGATAAAACCAACAAAGGCTATGCCAATCAAGTGGAGAGCACAGAAAGCCTACCAAAAGGAATAGATATGGCTAGCCTAGCTCAAGAGTTGATGAAATTCATGGGAGGCAGACAGACAGGAAATCAAGATAGCATATCAGAAGGAGTTAATTTTGCTGGTAATACTATTGATCTTAATTTTCATTTTGCTTTATCAATGTTTGAGGATATAGGAAGAAGTTCTTGGATATTGGATACTGGTGCCAGCAAGCACATGTGCACAAATGACCTGTTGATTTCAGACCTTACACTTTTGACCAAACCTATTTCTGTCTATCTACCAGATGGCACTTTGAAACAAGTTACTCATACTGGAAAAGTCAAAATAAACAACCACATTGTTCTTAAAGAAGTCCTATACATACCTTCTTTTAAATTCAACCTTTTATCTGTTTCCCAACTTGCACATGATTCTAAGATACAGTGTATTTTCACCTCTTCTCATTGTCAATTGCAGGACCTTGAGGATTGTAAAGTGGTGGCAGAAGGGAAAATAATAGGAAACCTTTATGTTCTAGAACCTGACTGTAAATCTTCTACTCATTCTCCTGCTCATTGCTTTAATACTTTTCCTTGTAAAACATCTCTTGAGAAATGGCACATTTTGTTGGGGCATGCTTCTTTGAGCACTTTGAAACACTTACATTTTCTGAAGAATGAATTTTCTGATTCTGCTGTTCTTGCTTTGGAGTCTTGTGAAATTTTTTCCAAAGCCAAACATCACAGAAATCCTTTTCCCACATCATCTGTAAGAAGTACATCCATATTTGACATCATTCATATAGACCTTTGGGGACCCTGTAGTGATGATAACATCAAAGACATCAAATATGCTCTCACCATTGTTGATGATTATAGTAGAGCAACCTGGTTATATCTTTTAAAGCATAAAACCCAAGTACCACATACTCTTTCCTCTTTCTTTGCCTTGATTAAAAACCAGTTTCAAAAAACTGTAAAGACAGTTAGGAGTGACAATGGGATGGAGTTTATTAGTCAAGAATGTCAAACCATTTTTCATACTCTGGGAATTATTCATCAAAGGACCTGTGTATACACACCTCAACAAAATGGGATTGTTGAGAGGAAACACAAGCACCTTCTTGAAATAGCCAGATCTCTGATGTTTTATTCAAAAATACCTTTGTACCTTTGGCCTGAATCTCTGCTCACAGCCACCCATATACTTAACAGACTTCCCAACTCAGCTGTTAACTGGAAAACACCTTTTGAAATTCTCTATGAAAAGGTCCCAGATTACACCACCTTGAAACCCTTTGGTTGTTTAGTGTTTGTTGCCAATGTTGAACCACATAAAACCAAGTTCACCACCAGATCACATAAGTGTGTTTTCCTCGGTTTTGAGTCAGGAAAAAAGGGCTATAAGTTGTACAATATGGACACAAGGAAAATTGTGGTTAGTAGAGATGTCAAGTTCTTGGATAATGTTTTCCCTTACCATGACAAACAGGATGTCCCACAGTTAACCCCAATGCCAGTTGTTCCTCTCATTGATGACCTTGATGATCTACCAACTTCTACATCACCTACACCAACTGACATAGTTTCTGATGCTACCACTTCACAAACTCATTCCACCAGACCCTCTAGAAATAAAACAAGACCCCTTTGGCTTAATGATTACATTACCTTCTATTCCCGTACACCTTTTCCTTCTGTTGTCATGGATCAATCTTGCAAGGCCACTAATCCAGGTACTGCTAACCCTTGCACACCTATTACTACTAATGCCATTTCTTACACCTCCAATTATCTTGAGTTTTTGCACAATGTATCCATTATCCAAGAACCAACTTCATATCATCAGGCAAAGATACATGCAGAGTGGGTTGAGGCTATGCAACATGAGCTTGATGCCTTAGAAAGAAATGAGACTTGGGACCTGGTTCAGTTGCCATTTGGAAAGAAACCTATAGGGAATAAATGGGTTTATAAAGTGAAAAGAAAGCCAGATGGGACTGTAGATAGGTACAAAGCTAGGCTTGTAGCCAAGGGCTACAATCAGGTATATGGAATAGATTTTGTGGACAGTTTCTCTCCAGTGGCAAAGCAGGTAACAGTGAGGTTATTTCTGGCCATTAGTGCAGCAAAAGGATGGCCTTTGTGTCAAGTTGACATAAACAATGTTTTTTTACATGGTCATTTGCAAGAGGAGATTTATATGACTTATCCACAAGGTTACAGTAAGCAGAAGGATGGAGAAGTTTGCAGGCTTAAGAAAAGTTTATATGGGCTCAAACAGGCTTCAAGGGAATGGAATCATGAATTCTGTGCTAAACTTCTCTCTTATGGTTTTGCTCAATCCCAACATGATCACTGCTTGTTCACTAAGTCTAGTGGAGACAATTTTTTGGCTCTTTTGGTCTATGTTGATGATGTCCTAATCATGGGACCTAATCTGGAATTGATAAACAGTCTTAAGAGCTATTTGGATAAAGAATTCACTATTAAAGATTTAGGATTTGCTAAGTTCTTCTTGGGAATAGAGATTGCTAGAGGAGAACATGGCACATATTTGAATCAGAGAAAGTATATTGTGGACCTTTTGCATGATATGAAACTTGATCACAGCAGGACAGCAGTCACACCTTTGCCACATGGGTTGGTACTGAAAGGCAAGGATGGCACTCCTTTGGACAATGCTGATGTGTACAGGAGATTAGTGGGGAGATTGTTATACTTGAATCTTACAAGACCAGATATCTCTTTTGCTGTACAACAATTGAGTCAGTTTGTGAATGACCCTCATTCAACTCACTGGGATGCAGCAATGCATGTATTGAGGTACTTGAAAGGCACAACCACTTTGGGACTTTTTTATTCAGCTTCCTGTGATTTTACACTCTCAGCTTATTGTGATGCTGATTGGGGAGCTTGTGTGGACACTAGAAGATCCTTGACTGGGTTTTGTATCTTCCTTGGGTCTTCACTGGTGTCATGGAAAAGCAAAAAACAAGCTACAGTTTCTAAGTCATCAGCAGAGTCTGAGTATAGAGCCCTCAGTTCTACAGCATGTGAATTGCAGTGGCTGGCCTATATTGCTCAAGACTTGCAGCTGCCAGTCCATCTACCTATTCCTTTGTATTGTGATAACCAATCGGCTCTTCACATAGTTCAATATCCAGTTTTTCTTGAACGTACGAAGCACTTGGAAAAAAATTGTCACCTGGTAAGAAATAAGTACAAGGATGGCTTGCTTTCACCCTGCTACATTCTTTCTTCCCAGCAGATAGCA